CAAGAATACTCTAAGTATGTGTTCAGAAGAGAATTGTATAATTGTGAAGTCTGAAGTGTGTTCAATCGTGTGTGTGTTTTTTTTTTTTTTTTTGAAAAAAAAAGGGGCCGTGTATTTATAGTGTGAAAGTTATGAGAAAAATAAGGTAAGAAAATAACTGAAGACTGATTGTCAATCAATTACATAAGACTCCCTTTAATTAAGGGATTCAAATTCAAATGGGTATAAAACAATTAAGGAAAGAAATTAATCAAACGCTTGTGTAAAGCATGCAATTGAGGGCAAATACATAAAGGTTATTTAAGGCAAAGTTCAATGGTACACGGTTGATGAAAAATAGGGAAAGGGAATCAATCAAAAAAGAATAAAATTCCAGGCTTTGTCCGAATGAACCAAGTCAGGAAAAAGAGTAAAGAGGGTTCACCTAGAAAAATCAGTAGCAATCATCAGACCTTATTAAAAGGAAATTCGGAATGAATCAATAGTTAGCAAAACCTTTTTAGAAGAAGGACTTCTCATATATAAAGCACACAAATATTCAACAAGAGGGAGTTGTCATGCTGGTTAGCAAAGATTAACATAGAAACAGTCATAAAAAGTTCAGGTCCAATTTATAGACTCGGAATGAGTCTGAGAGTTTGGGGTTTCAAAGTAAAACCCTAGTCTAAACACAAAATCGAACTTACCAAAGAAACCCCCAAATTCTAGGGTTTCAGTTTGAATCAGTTACAGAGATGAGGGGGCAAGCTATTGAAACAGACTCAGAGGTCTCTTTCAGAGACTTAGGAGAAAGCAAACAAATATAACAACAAGTTCGAAACAACAGAGTGAAGAAACTGATTTGAAACATAGTGAGAAACAGTAGAGGAAAACATGTTTAAGAAAAATCTGGGACTTAAACAAGTTCAGAAGAGAAAAGAGATAGTATAATACTTAAAAAAAACAGTAGAAGAAACATATTTAAAGGGAACTCAAACAAGGTCCAGTAAAACAGTACCACTTAAGAACATGGTAGAGAAATACAGTAGAAGAACACGAGAGCACCGGAACAGTATAGCAAAAGAACATACAGTAAAATACACTGGGATAAACATGTGAGATCATGGTATAGAAACATAGTAGAAAAAAGAACGGAGCACAGTAGGAGAACATGCAACACAAAAACACAGTAGAAGACATGCGTGGCAGAAAAGAAGACATAAGAACATAGTATAGCCAAATACACACAAAGAAAAGAAAAGGAAAAGTCAGAGGAATAACTTAAGTTTTTCAAAAAACCTTGAAGCGGAAAGAAGCAATTTTTGAAAGGAAAATTAGGAAAAACGTTTGAAAACTCAGGTAGAGCACAGATATGTAACAAATCTAAGAAAAACAGAGAAAACCTCGAATAGTTAGGGTTTCAGAGGAACCCTAGAATGAGAAAGGCTTGGAAAAGGTCCGATCTAAGTCGGATAAGCTAGAACCAGGCTCAAAATGCTTTGGATACGCCGGAGCAAGGGCGGAGAAGCCATGGAAACTTGAATCGGCGAAGATTTGAACAGACACCATCGAGGTCAGACCTCGAAACTTCGAACACCATGCATTCAAGAACAGAGGGAGGTGAGTATAGGCCATCCATGGCCTGAGAGGCCATGGATTCCGGTGAGTTGGAGGTTGAAGATGGTGGAAGGCGATTAGGGTTTCAAGAACATTCGAGAGAGTTTGAGAGGGGGAGGGTATTCAGAGGCGGCTGGCTAAACGAATAATGGGGATTAGGGTATGGTGGGGAATTAAAAAGGAAAGGGGTAATCATGGTCGTTTATCCAAAGGATTAACGGCCTGGATTAAAAGGAGGACGAGCGGGTTGGATAAACGGGTTAAGGGGTTGGGTTAAATTAGGATTGGGCTGCTCCGGAATTGGGCTGGAAATTGGGTCAATTAGGGGGTCAAACTTGGCTATGATTGAAATACCAAATTGAAACGAAATGAGGTCAATTTTTAAATAGCCAGTTTTGTCCCTTTTCTTTTATAAAATAGTAAAAAAAAGAAAAAGATTTTAAACACAAATTAAAAGTACTGAACCAACTAATAATATATAAACATTAATTTAAAAATATTGGACCCAATTTTACAATTATAGGAATGCTATTAATCTTAAAATAGGCCAAAATTGCAATTGTATGCAATTTTAGCTTTAAAATACCAGATAAATTTGTAAAAATATACAAAAATCCCCTTAACTATATTTTGGCGTAAACATGAGAATAAAATAAGTTATTCATCAAAAATGATAATTTTGGGAATAACTATTGATTTTTGTACTGCTAAAAATGGACAATAAGTTGATTTTAAAATCTTTTAAAAATTAGGAAAAGTGCCAAAACCTTAGCTATGCTTATATATGCTATTTTGAGAGTATTTTGTATATGAAAATTATATTAGGGAAAAATTGGGTATCAACAGAAAGCTTACAAGAATACTAACAACCTTTGGGCCAGAGTCCTTATCCACAAGCACTGTAACATGTCCAGACCAACCCAAGCTTTGAGACACCCCGTGAACCAAAAATCACCAATTTGGAAGGGTGTACTAAAGGGTTGGGAAACATGTAGCAGCAGATGGGTAATTAACAGAGGGAATAGGGTCAACTTCTTTAATGACACCTAGATTCCTAATCAGCCAGCCCTCGGGCAATTGATACAAGGTCCTCAAACCCAGAATGACCTCAATATTAAGGTTGAATCAATTCACAATATGGGCACCTGGGACACCTCAATCTTGTCATTTGACCTCCCCCCCCCCCCCCCCCCATCCTAAACCTCCTTAACTCTGTATTCATTCCCAGTATAGCCACTAAAGAGGACAACCTAATTTGGGGCCTCATTGCCAATGGGAAATTGTCCAACAGCACTGCTTACTCCTTCTTAATCAGGAACACTCATGCTTACTCTCCTTGGGAAGAACAACAATTCAAGTGGATTTGGAAACTCCAAACACCAAATAAAATAAAGTACTTTATATGGCTCTTAACTCACAGAAGACTACCCACCAGGTGCCTTCTACACTCTATTGGACTGGAATGCCCCCCCCCCCCCCCCCTCAGTGCCACTTTTGTGGGTTTAGAAAAGAGGACTATTACCACAGCTTCTCCCAATCGACCCAATGTTGTTCTAGTTTTGGAATTCAATCCAATACAAAATCTACAGCTCCACCACCTTCCGATCTACCTCTCAATCGCCAGCCTTGGCAATCAGTTTTGCAAAATATCAAAGGTGTTAAGTACAATAACTGCCTCAACTGGGACAGCCTCCTTCTATCTCTGGCACATTTGGCTGTCAAGGAACAACAATGTGTTCAACAACAAAAAGGACCCAATCAATGCTAGCAACACAATTGCTAAGGCAACTGAGTTCCATGTGCTTAATAATAACAAGCAAAACCAATACATCCACCAAATCATGCTAAAATGGATTCCACCACCAAGAGGCTCCTATAAACTCAATACTGATGGAGCAGCTAAGGGAAACCCAGGAATGGGGGGAGTTGGGGGGATTTTCAGAAATCATAATG